TGACACATGTCACCTTGGTTTGTCACTGTCAACACTGTACATGTCACTGTAATATGATACCTGCCACCTAGGTATGTCACTGTCAACATTGTACATGTCACTGGTATTGACACCTAGGTATGTCACTGTCAATATTGTACATGTCACTGTAATATGACACATGTCACCTTGGTATGTCACTGTCAACACTGTACATGTCACTGGTGTTTATACCTGTCACCTTGGTATGTCACTGTCAACATTGTACGTGTCACTGTTATATGACATTTGTCACCTTGGTTTGTCACTGTCAACACTGTACATGTCACTGGTATTGACACCTAGGTATGTCACTGTCAACATTGTACATGTCACTGTAATATGACACATGTCACCTTGGTATGTCACTGTTAACACTGTACATGTCACTGGTGTTGACACCTGTCAGCTAGGTATGTCACTGTCAACATTGTACATGTCACTGTTTTATGACACATGTCAGCTAGGTATGTCACTGTCAACACTGTACATGCGGCTGGTGTTGACACCTGTCAGCTAGGTATGTCACTGTCAACACTGTACATGCGGCTGGTGTAGGTTTCCTGACAATTCAACCATGCCCTAACCCGATGTAATCCAGTTTGGAACTGACCCTCATTTTCCACTGCTTGGTACGGTGTGGAAGGATCACCAGAACTACCCGGATGTCTTGGGCATTGTGGAGCCATTGATGACAGCTGGATAAACCTCCTTGTATTCACATTAATTATACACCAACACGATACTAAGTGCAAGGTTTATTCAGTAACATTTACATCAGTATTTATCAAACATACGTGTGTGTGTGTGTGTGTGGTTTTACGCCGCTTTTAGCAATATTCCAGCAATGTCACGGCGGGGGACCGTCTTGGGCGTGACGAGCGAACGCTTCAACCACTAGGCTACCCGACCGCCACCTATGTATGTATGTATGTATGTATGTATGTATGTATGTATGTATGTATGTATGTATGTATGTATGTATGTATGTATGTATGTATGTATGTCATCATGTATGTATGTATGTATGTATGTATGTATGTATGTATGTATGTATGTATGTATGTCATCATGTATGTATGTATGTATGTATGTATGTATGTATGTATGTATGTATGTATGTATGTATGTATGTATGTATGTATGTCATCATGTATGTATGTATGTATGTATGTATGTATGTATGTCATCATGTATGTATGTATGTATGTTTGTATGTATGAAAAAACATTTTGTTCAAATGATTAGGTAGAACTGCATTGGCAACTAGCGACAAGTCAATATTAACATCACAAGTATCTTTCACAATTAGCAAGATTGAGTGCACCAAATCGATTCAAGCTAATTTGAAAAAAATGATAGCAACAACTTTGAATTTTCACATGGGCTACCACATCGGCAGTTTCAATCCTCGTGAAAACCTTTTCTAAATAAATAATGTTTTTAATTCACTATCACCTTCTCTGTATTTAAATCGAGAGAAAGTTTCAAACTAACTTTGTTGAATGGGTGATTTCTTCCACAGTTAAATAGAGGATGGTACAAACGAGAATTCAGAAATCGTTGTGGCATGGTTACATTATGAGCATTTCTAAGGTAGTATGTTATGTTTGTTAGTGGGGCACTACACCAGTAAGGTATTACGGTTACATATTGTTATATATTTTATGAAAGGAACACAATTTTCTCAACTACATTTTCTCCCAAGGTCTGATAAGGGCTCCCAGGAAGTTTCCTAATATAGATTTTAACAGACGTATACCTTAAAATCAGTTACAATTATTGCTAAGCATTACATAAATCAATACAACATGACATCAATACAACACAGTGTTTTCATTATCCAAATTGCTTGGGTTGCTATACTATTGTTTGTTTATATATTTCTTAAGCGATGAAAGTTTTAAAGCGTTATTGAATTTACAAATATCAATCATTCTTTAACCACAATTTTCATATTTATTTGTTAATATTGATCTTTTTTATCTTGTCTTTTTATTATTCCAAGTGAAATCATTACATACTTTGGTTAAAGCATTCATAAAACCTTCAGGCGGATAAGGAAGGGCTTTAAAGATATGGACTAATGATGACATTGCTAATGACTTAACTACTGTTATTTTACCAATTAAGGTTAAATTTCTTTTTCTCCAGTTTGCTAATAATCGTTTTATATTTTCTAGTCTCTTACGGGTATTAATTACACAAAGGTAATTAAATTCGACATTTACTGTAATACCGAGTACATGAAAATTACCATTGTGCCAATCTAACTTTTTGTGTGGACAAAATTTAATACTACTGCCTGACATCGAACCTAACCATAGGACCTTAGTTTTGTCAATATTGATCTTTAGAAAAGACATTTTATAAAATGTATCAAGCATATTAAGCGCATCACATAAAGTTTGTTCAGATCCATCTAAAATAATTCTATAACATCAGCATATTGATAAATTTTGTATTCATTATCATTTAGTCTGATTCCTTTAATTTTATCATTTGTTTTAATCATTATGCCTAAAATTTCTGCCACAAGAAGAAACAGATAAGGTGATACTGCTTCACCTTGTCTACAACCTCTTTCATTTGGAAAAAAGAAGAGGGGAAACCATGTTGAGTTACACAAGATGTAGGATTACTAATGAGAATATTTATCCATTTTTTAGGACCAAAACCATATTTTTCTTGGACTTACATTATAAATCTTTTGGATACAGTATCAGATGCTTTTTCGAAATCTATAAAAGGAGTAGCATACCTGATTTATTTTTACTTTTTAATTCAAACATTATGTCAAATAGGAGCCTAATATTTTCACTGGCCCTGATATAAAACCTGTTTGTTTTTCTTGTATTAGTTTTGGCAATGATCTTTTAATACGATTTGCTATGCAGCAACTTAGGATTTTGTACAAAGTATTCAATAAAGTAATTGGTCTCCAATTTTGAAGTATTCTTCTGTCTTTATTGGGTGTTATAACACCCCTATTCATAGTAAGTGTTAGTCGATTATGCTCAAAAGTATCCTTTATAAATCTATAAACCCAAACAGAGATATCTTTCCAGAATTTAAAAAAAATATCAACTGAGAACCCATCTATACCAGGCGATTTATTATTTTTTAAATTTTACTGACTACTTCTGCTATTTCTTTTTTTTGTGTGAGGATTATTCAAGTTCATCAAACATTTCATTATCAATTTGGGGAGTGATTATATGTTCAAGGTCTCTTAAGTCATTATGTTCAACCTCAGATGATATTGAATAAAGTGAATGGTTTTTGCTCTTCAAGAATTTGTTTACAGTTAGTTATAATGTCTCCATCATCATTTAAAATTGAATATATTGTTTTAGAAGTATAAACTCTATTTTCGAATTTACAAAAATATTTTGTTGGTTTCTTGCCTACCTCATACCAGTTAATTCTATTTCTTATATTAATTCCTTGAATTTCTTCTTCTTAATTTTTTCAGATTTATGTTTCAGTTGGCTTAATTCATTTAATATATTTTCATTGATGTTTTGAAATCTTTTCTAATACTATCCTCTATCTTAGAAATATTATTTTCAAGTTTTCATTTCAAGTTTTTTCTTATTTTCATTAACAATGTTTCTTGGAAGAGAGAATCGTTTATTGATAATTTCAAATCTTTGTCATCAACAATATTATCATTAAGATTTATCTTTGTATTCATTTTTTGCCTCTTCAATTGTATTTTTCATAAGATCAATACAATCCTTTTGATATAAAAGAGAGGAAATAAATTTACAAAATCCTTTACCCCTATCTTTATTTCCAGCATTTGTTAGAGTAAGGGAAATAACGGAGTGATCCGATTTGTATCCCGGCAAAATTGATGAATCTCTTGTCTAATATATCTTGTGAGGTTATGAAAAAGTCTAACCTTGCTTGTTGGCGGGGATTTTTTTCCAATCCCCACAAAAGACCGTTTAGCTATTGTCAAATTCTTCCATTTTTGGGAAAATAGGCTTATAAAATCCAGGTTTATCGTCATTTGGACCGTATAAGGTTGTAAGGGTTAAATTAATACCTATGATCGTTAAATCTGAAATAATGAACTTACCATTTTCGTCAACAAAACTTTTGTGGACCTTTATTTCACAAATATTATTAAAAAGGATAGATCCTATAGCATTATAGGTATATGGAGCTATTATACTATCTAAACTCCGTTCATTTTTCATTATATTTTAAAAAAATCAGAAATATGGATATCTCGAAGACAAACAATTGATGCTTGCATTTTTCTCCAAATACTTATGATCTCATTTCGCTTATTTTTTTCAGCCAGGCCCCTACAGCTCAGTGGTACAATTTTAATTTTATTAGTCATCTTCAAAGAAGTTTATGTAAAATCTTTTGTAACCCACATGAAGTGTATTTTTTTCAATAATAAAACCGTAAAAAAAACAGAAAAAACATAGTATAAAAAACAAAACAAACTATTCCGGTTAGAATTTTGAAAAAATGAAAAACCCTGCTAGCTGCTTAATTATCGTTGAGACTGAAAGGTCCTGAAGGAATATTCAAATTGTCATGAGCCCCTTTTTTGCTGATTGAAATAAAATAATTATTATAATAATGATATAACTTTGCTTATGTACTAGATCTTATGTCTTAGTATAAAAATAAGCATTATGATATATATCAAATAATGTTATCATGAGCACCATTTTTGATGATTGAAATAAAATATCATTGAGGCCGAAATAAAATATCATTGAGGCCGAAATTAAGCTTTGCATAAGATTATGAAAAGTCTCGGACAGAGACATATGGGCTTATAATGAGAACAAACATAATCTTTATAGAGTGATATAAGTTTGCTTATGTACTCGATCTTGTGTCTTAGTATAAATATAAGCATAATAATATATATCAAATAATGTTAATTATATATGTTGGTTGGTTGGTCGTTTAACGCCGCACTCAGCAATATTCCAGCTATATGACGGCGGTCTGTAAATAATCGAGTCTGGACCAGACAATCCAGTGATTAATATCATGAGCATCGATCCACGCAATTGGGATCGATGACATGCATCAACCAAGTCAGCGAGCCTGACCACCTGGTCCCGTTAGTAATTATATATGTAATCAAAATAGGTAATAACATATACATGATATAAGTTGGACAAATGTTACCATCCATAAATGTACATGTTCAATTAGTTACATTGTCAAATATCAATAAATTTCCCTTAGTTCGACTTAAATCAAAAGTTTATGGTTATGAATAAAATACCACTTTCTTGTTGAATAACTCTGTGCAGCGTCCTGCCTTCGACACTGATTGGCGAATCCTACAGAATATAAACATTGTCAGCCACACACAACTCTCGGAGTTTCCGAGTTGGAGGTTAATAAACAGATAGATAGCCTGTTACTACTGTTCTGCGTATTCCTCATCAAGTTCGATTTTGATCCATTTGGAATCGTTGTTCTTCCTGTGATAAAGAATAATGTCAATACCTTTTTCCATGAATTTTGTTTGTAGTCCGAAGTTTTTCTAAAGTTACAGTCACACAGACAATGCGAGCCCGACTGGCGATCGCTGAGACCGATGCAACTACTTCTGTCTATATTTGGAATTTGTATACGGTCGGCCATCAATCAGCGGTAGGTTTTGCAACTTGTCAGTGATTGATCGGCAACTGTTCACCGCAAATACGGCGAAATGTTTGCAACTGGTTGAGACCGATCGGTGACTATTCAGCGAATCTTCGGTAACTTGTTGCAACTGGACGTGGACTGGTTGATGACTAGTTTTCGATCGATCACCCATAAAAACATTATGCATATAAAAAGGGTGCTTTTCTGAATCATATCATTTCGGTGCAAGTTGTCACCGATGAAGCGCCGGTCGATCACCACCTCATAACTGATCAATCACCGATAGGTCGCCACTAGGTTGCAAAGAGTCGACGAGTATAGACGAAACCGATGCCTCACAGGCAAAACCAATCTGCGATAAAAATAACACCACTTGGGGACCTCTAGGAGACCAATGAAACCTCCGAGCGACCAAATCTGTCGCAGCCAGTCTTTTGTGCATGTTCAAAAGACTGGTCACGACTGCCCTGAAACCTTGTAGCGACCTCAGTGAAACCATTCAGACCTCTGAAACCTCATTGCGATTGTCAAATATTTTGGTCGCAAGGAGGCTGCATTGCGGTCGCATTGTCTGTGTGACTGGGGCTTTAGGTTATTAGCTTTTATTGCTAAGCGTCCTCGGAGTTTCTTGAATGGGAGAGGTAAATCCGTACTGATAGATTTCTTCAATTCTCGAAGAAGACGCCGTTTTTGTAGCTTAGCAAACAGCACATTCTGTCGGTCCTCCATGATGACGAATCTAACAAGAATTTGGTCGGGGCTTGGTGGTCCCCATGATGCATCCGTGTTGAGGCGAGGTTATCTGTGGAAGGCGGCCAATGACATATCCTCAGCGTCGTGTACTTTTAGTTCGGAGAATAATTTCCTGGCTGCCGTTTCAGGATCGCGTCGCTCTTTCACCCCGTAAATTAAAAAGTATGACCTTCTCATGTACATTTCCTGTATAAAAAACTGCTTTAATTTAATTCATCGGTTTTCCGTTAAAGCCCTTTGCTGATCGCTTCTGTGGCGTCATTTTTGTCCTCGGTCGAGAATTCGGTAGATTTAGTTTTGCTCGGAGTTTCGGGAGAATTTTCCGCTTCGGGGGCTTTATTCCCCCGTTACCCCGTCTTGAAGTGGACATAATGCAGTTGAAGGCATCGGATAGCGGTAGCTTCTAATTTTAGCGACATATCGCCATGAGAGCTAGACCCGAAGTTCCCATTATGATCTAAGTTGGCATACAAATGAGTTCCCATATGAGATGATAATCCCTTGGCACTGTCTTGGTGGCCTCGTTAAGGTTTTGAATTGCTCAATGTGGTACTGTTTAACTGTAACATCATGCCATCATTCCATGGTTATGGCAATAGTTTAGCAGCTTCAGGCTCAGAAATATATCTTTCTAAACAAATAAAACCCCTGTGTGCATCACTTATGTTAGTGCCCTGGCTCCCGTTCCACAAAGCGATCTTAGCCCTAAGACGATCGTAATTCCCATACTTTGTAGAAATACAGCAGTCGTAGTGATAAGATCGCTTTATGGAACGGGCCCCTGTTCTGTTACTTCTTTTTACGTTTATGTTTCCACTCACATTGTTATCATGACTTGTTTCATATTGAAGATATGTCATTATAGATTAAAAAGATTAAGTAAAGGTAGAACATTCTAAACCCAATTAATCATTTGTTGAATTTGTCCCATTGTTCCAGTAGATTGACAACAACTTCCACATTTTTAAAGTCATCAATGAGAGCACAACAGTTATCCCGATATGATAAATCAACAGCTAGATATTTCCTCTGCCTCAGTCTTGCTTCAAAACATTTTTCCTGATACTACACATCTTCAGGGAGAGTCGTTTGCTAGGGGTAACAAAACGTTTGAAATTACTATACAGATGTACAACCTCCATCTTTGCAATGAAAGAAGAATGGTTGCTCATAGTTTCCCTCAGAATGTTGAAAGCCTTTTCCGCCATTGCCCTGGTTCTAAGTCTTATTTCCTTCTTTGCCTGCTCCAGTGTGTTGAAGACTTTATCTGTCACACATATTCTGACAGCATCATCTCTTCGGAGATACTGACACCTCAACAATTCCCCAACAACTTCTTTGGTTTTCCAGTTAAATTCGGCTATAAGTCGTTCTTTTGGATATGGAACATTGGGAAACATGGTTGATGGTGTTTTTTTAGTATCCCTGTTTGCCAACACATAAACTATTTCCTCCCGATTGAAGAGTTGTATGAACTTTTCCTGTCCCATTTTCAAGTACCGATGTCTTACAACTTGGCGGTACTTGTCCAAGCCCGTATAGCCTGTAACACTTGACCAGTATTTTTTTAAGATATCGAAACTGTTGTTGCAAATCCAGTGTTTGAACACTACCTCTGCGGAATTCCGAATCTGAGAGCACACATCTCGGGTAGTGTTCCCAAAGCCCTCTTTGACGTGAATGAGATAGGTCTTCTCTGGTGTGTAGAAGAGGATGTCGTACAGCTCTATGTTCTGACCAAAAATAAAGATCCGGTCCCCAAGGAGGTATCCCGAAGTGTCAGGGAGCAGTTGATCATACAGGATGTAACCTTCATTGTAGTGTCGTTCAGCCTGTTGGCAGTGCATTCTGAGGAAAAGTAGTATTTGTTTTCTTTGATTGTTTGTCTCTCCTTCCAGATAGTTATTGAACGTGACAATTCTTGTGATTTTTTCTTTTTTCTTCTCGTCCGTCAACGTTAGTTGTTTTTCAAAAGTTTCTTCAATCCACTGAACTAATGTCGCCCCTGTAACAAAGACTGTTGATTTCTGATTGTCATTGGTCTTCGTCTTTGGAGCATCCTCTGGCCAGTCATGTCCAGAGTAAAGCCATGGTAAGACAAGCACATTGCCACCCAGTCTGTGGGACTGCTCCAAATGACTGAACTGCTCTTCTAAACTCGCCATATACTCATACTCAATCCTCAGCCATTTTCCACCATAGCAGAATAAAGATTCACCACTTATGGTGATTTGGCCATGGATGTACTTCAGCAAGGGATTTGTGCGATTATAACCTTCATGAGAGCCACACATTTGCAAAGAAAGTGTGCTGATTATTTGCCTGTAATGCCCTGGAATGGTGTTGTTTGTCACTACTTGAAGCAAGTCTACAAGGTTTGGAGGCTGGCCTTCCCATTTGTGAAATAACTGTCGTCTGTTCTTTAAATTGAACACATTTGCATTTTCCCAGCCTTTCAGATCCCGATGGGACAAATAAAGACTCAGATTCTTAGATTGACCACTAAGGTGAGAAATGATGTTTTCCATCAAAATATTGTTGAATGATTCTATTCGTTCTTTATCCTTTACTATTTTCACATGATAAAGCACATCAAAGGCTGTGTCATCTAGTTCCTGTTCCCGACTTGGATATTTCTTAGATTCCTCTCCTCTTGCAATACGGGAAAGTTGGTAAAGGAGAAGGGCAATATCCTTCAGACTCATTTCAGCAGACATTCTGAGATAGGTTTCCCCGACAGTCATTGATGCTTTCCTTGGTTTGCCTTTCTTTGTCCGTAAGCAGAACCAGTATAGAGAAGCATCATCTCTCAGTGGCATCTTATAGGATGTTGTGATTTGACCCAGATAGTCCCAGAAGGTAACCATGGTACTTTCATTCTGCTTAAATGTTATTGTCTGGGATGAGAGAGGTCCAGTAAGTTGCTTGGATGACAGGGCCTTTAAATTAGGTTGAAGAACCCTTTTGGCACATTTTATTGGGAATTCTCTACAACACATGTTTTCTTTCAGGATAACATAGGCATTTCCAGATGTAAGTGCATATATTTCAGGATGAAAAGATGTGTAATCTGGTGGACTATGGGGTATGTTTGTTGTAAGAAATATCAGAATATCTACATGTGTTTCTCGAGGAAACTGATCACGATAAAGATCCTCCTGCTCCTCCTCCTCTTCTTCTTTGTCTTCTTCTTCATCATCACCATCATCATCATCATCATCAGCAGCAGCAGCAGCAGCTGAACCATCTTCATCGACATGATCAGTAGCACCGCCCAAAGTCAATCCTTTGACTATTTTCTTCCACTTGGACACTACAGCTCTGGAGAAACAATACATCCTTATTGAAAATTCCCCAGGCAGCTCTTTCAGTGCGTTTTGAATTGGTATTGAAACTTCTTTTTTCTTAAAAGAGCGTGTAGGTGTATTCACTATGAAACTATCTATATATACATTTGCTGCTCTAGTTGAATCATCTTCTTTAGAATATCCTTCTTCCTTCATCTCCAATTTGGTGATCCTCATAGAAGGCATTAAAATCTCTATGCCTGAAGTCATTCTTCTTGTTTCAGTCTCGGTATGTTAGTCTTTTAGCTGAAAGTAGAAATTTGGAATAGTAGCGAGCGTACATAGTAAAATGATTTCAATATACAAACCTGAAAAAAAAGGTTAAACACCACCCCTAAATAGAGAACGTCCTTGAAATCATTCTGATTAGTTGTGAAATGTCCTCCCTTTGTTTCTGTACTTAACAATACTCCATATGAATGATGTTTGGCTGTAAATAATTGAGTCCTGACCACTGATTGAGCAACGTCTCATGCCATCGGGCTTCGTTGACACGCAGCTATGATTAAGGCTGGGAGAACAAGCCTTAATGATGACGTGCCTCAACGTCCAACAATGAAGATTTAGTCACGGAGATAGAAAAACTTATACTGTGGATTGACGTATTACCATTGCTGAACTTGAGGAAGACACAGGTCAAAGCCATGGATCCATTGAAACTTTTATTTATGAACATATACAGATGAATAAGATCTGCTCGTTGGGTGCCAAAGTTTCTAAATTCTGATCTTTAGGAAAAAAGAACTGACATTGCCAGACAAAAATTTGGAACTAATTGAGGAGGATTTCGTCAATTTCAAAACGAGATTAGTAACGGGTGAGGATCCCGAGTGGCAACATTCCGCTTCACCAGCACCAAAGAAATTCAAGTTTTCAACATCAGTGAAGAAAGTTATGGCCACTGTATTCTGGAATGCAAAGGGTGTGACCCGTGTTGATTATTTAGAAAGTCAAAAGACCAATACTGGTGTCTACTATCCTGATTTGCTTCATGAGATTCTATCAAAGAAAAGAGGCGAGGAATGCTGACTGCTGGAGTTCTACTACTTCATGACAATGCCTCTTCTCAAACCTCTCGCCTTGCAAAGGGTGCTGTGCGACAATGTGGGTTCGAAGAGATTCCTCACCCTCCATACTCGCCAGACCTGTCACAATGTGATTTCCACCAAGAAAGAACACCTTCGTGGAAAGGGCTATGACGACAACAATGACCTGAGAAAACTTCTTCCTGGCTGGAATTGAAAAGCTAAACTATCGATATGAGATGTGAATTGAGAAGCAGAGACATTGTGTTGAAAAATTGAATGAAAAACACTTTCACAATTGTTAGTTTTGTTTGTTAGGCATAGAACATTTTGACCAGCCCACGTATTAGGTATAACATTTAGATGTACGGATAAATAAGAGTAATTGCTGGAGACCAACCTAAACGTAATTCACTTAATACTATTGATAGTGGACTAAAAATGAGTTGCTATTTAAACAACTTTAACCTATACTTATACAGGTAAAAATAATGTACGTTAATTGAGATATCGCTTTCCAAGTTCATCATACTCTTTAAGATTTCTAAAAAGTGTCAAGGCACTGATGCTTGCAATCCGAATTGTATCTGAATGGGGGCAATAAAGTTATGATATGAATTGTCTGTGTAAAATATAACATCTCTTCTACAGTATTATGCCAATAATAAAACAAACATGTAACTCTACAACGACAACGTCAACGATAAACACGTACAACTTCCTGCCTGTGTGTAAGTGACAGAGTGGATTTTTGTACCAGGATCATTTTCCCTGGACTTCGCAGGGAATCAGGGATGATGAGCAGTCCTCTCATGAAAGCTGGTACCGAAGCGACGAAAAGCGTGTCGAAATGCGTGAGAGCTGCGTACACACGCCACTGTCCTCTTATATACAGTCCATCTCGCTTCCAGAACATCACAATATATTCCATACAAGTCCAAGTTTACACACCACACAAGTCAGACTTTCTAGCGCGTGACACCTTCATTACACACTCGCATCCTCAAATATGACAGAAGAAAGTGGTGAAGAAGATATTTATATTAATGAATTACGATCCATAATCAGTCCCATGCGTCCACAGCATTCGCCATTACCAGTAGCGGTCGAAATGGTAGGTAAAAAGCGGATTCATCTGATCACATCACATGTTCAGTAGCGCTTTGAATGGTTTTGTGCTATGGATCTGGCTATGGTGGGCTTCAGACCGGGCCTGGACGTTGCCATTACAGTATGAATTCATGACAACCATCTGCTAATAAAGTTCGTTGAACGTATTCAAATATTAGATTGTGAAGTTTCTAGTATGACTCAATATAGACATGTGCTATCACGTCAGAGTGAGAGAAAAATTGATAGTCGCAACAGGATATCGCGAGGAGTATTACTATTTCGGCATGAATATACAATTATTTTTCATTTCCCCTACGTATTCCTTACTATAAAATAACAAACAATTCATAGCACATACATATGTAAAATACTTCCAAAAAATCCACAGATTACTAATACAGTAATAGACTTCGTAGAAATCATACCACGTCTTTCCAAGAAACCGACCTCTAAATATCGGCTGAGGGCCTTTGTCGATGAACTATGTTAACCTAACCAATCTCATCAAAATCAGAAACACGTACGATTAGGGGGAAAACACAGCCAGGGCCATGGAGCTGCACATACTGCACGTGCAGCAGCACAATGAACGGTATTAAAGTGCAGGGTTTTTGATTCCCTTGCATCTGTGTCAATCGAACAGGGACAGCACAACAACACGCCAAGATTAACAGAAGTGCAAAGAAACAACGTCATAGGCCGCTTGAAGGCAGGGAAATCCCGATCACCTGTAGCCAGGGTTTTCAATGAAGCGCCTAGCACCATCACAAGGCTGTGGGGTCGGTTTCAACAGCATGGGGCAACACGTGATCGGCCAAGATCGGGACGACAAAGAGTAACCATCCCCGCCCAAGTTCGCTAAATTCCACTGCGCCACCTATGTGAAAGGACGACCACAGCCACCTCAACCACATCACAAATAACCGGACTGCGCAGAATCTCCGACCAGACCGTACGAAACCATTTAAGAGGTCATCCTGTTCGACGCGTCATATTGAGTCGACAACATCATCAACAACGATTGCATTGGTGGTGATAACACAGGGTATGGCCTCAACTGCGATGAAGAGATGTCTGGTTCAGTGACGAATCAAGATTTCTCCTCTGTCGAGTGGATGGAAGAGCACGGGTCTACAGACGTCGGGGAGAACGTTACGCCGGAAACTGCGTACAGGAAGTGGACAGGTTTGGTGGGGGTAGGGTTATGATATGGGCGGCTATCTCTCATCATGGCAGGACAGGTTTAGTCCATATCCAGGGCAATCTTACGGCTCAACGATACATCAGCGAAATTCTCCTACCACACGTCCTCCAAATTGCAGCCAATGGCAACGGTGTATTCCAGCAGGACAACGCTCGACCGCATACAGCAACGATCACAAGAGCCTATCTACACAACAACAACATTGATGTTCTCTCCTGGCCCTCCAGAACCCCGGATTTGATCCCAATAGAGCGCTTGTGGGATGAATTGGACAGACGGCTACGCCGATGTCAACCACAACCCCAGACGTTGCAGCAGTTGACTTTTGCGTTGCAGGCTGAGTGGGCTACCATTCCCCAGGATGTGATTCGCATACTCGTCTCTTCCATGGACAGGAGATGTCAGGCCGCTATCGATTCCAAAGGGGGGCATACTCGTTCTTGATGGTAGCTGACCTTCACCTTGGACGTTTCCTGTGTACCGATGATTGAAATGACTACAGTCACCAAGTGTTCTATCCACAACAATTTTGCTCAATAACTTGTACGGTTCCTCGCATAAATGTATTTCCTCTCTCGCAAACAAATCTGGCTTTGTGTTTCTTTTTCTTTGAAGAATATACTTCTCATCGACATTAATCACTGGATTATCTGGTCCAGACTCGATTATTTACAGACCGCCGTCATATATCTGGAATATTGCTGAGTGAGGCGTTAGACAACAAACAAACCAACAATCATAACTATCTTTATCAACGTCCTTGGCAACCAATGTCATCGCCAACAATAAGATGTGGATATTGTGGGTGGGACACACCGTATTCTCGCAACACTATGACAATTTAACAATATCAGGAGTATTGCAATTGTTACAATTATTTTGTAGCCCAATAAAGTTTACAGATCTTACAGAAAACCTGTGTAATTGTGTATTGACAAGCAATGCTCAGCAAAATTTAGAATTTTGCATGTTGTGTAAACAAGTCACTGATAAAGCTTCAGAAATCCTTTAGAAATACATTTCATTGGATGGTATTTCTCGTACTAGTCTGATCAACTTTCAGAAAAGCTCTTTTTGACACTACCGTAGAGAGCCAGAAATTTCATGTTGGTCCAAAAAATGGCAACAAATTAAAAAAGGTAACATTTGAATTAAACCATAATATTAATTTAGCATAACAGTAGTAATCCATGGCCCCGCCCCATCCCCCATGAATCATTCAGATTGCTGGACAATATTTCATACAAGTACACTGTACTTTACATTAATTAAAACATTAATTTAGTTATTTATTGTAACACATATATAACATCATAATTGTTCCTCCTACCTACGTTGAAACTACGTTAATGATAATAAACATATTTCAGTCCCAAACACATCACATTGACAATGTGAAATGGTTCACCCTGACAAGTTATTTTAGTTTTTTTAAAGCTTTAAACATATATTATCAGAGTTTGTCAACGCAAAATTTACCGTGCAGAAAAATACCCCAATGTCATAAATATATTCTCCAATACAACAATCTTACATTTACTGTTTCAAATTTCGATGATTGTTAAAAACAAATACTGTTGTTTTTGTGAAACATCAAGCTCCTCACAGCGATATCCCATTCGCGGAGCTCTCCATACTACCGAGAGTGTAACGAAGGTGTCACGCGCCGGGAAGGAGCTTGGTTAAACTTGTCCGAGGGAAGTAACTGCGTAGTGCTAAAAGAAATAGGGTGGGGTCCGATTTAATTATTTTTTGATATATTGTCCCTTATAAATTACATTTAAACACACTGAAAATTATAACAAATGATTGCAGAAGAGAATAAACCTATTTACAACCGCGTATTCGGCAGTATTGATAGTTTTAAGAATAACTGTTGACTTTATCAATGTAACTCAACTTCG